ATGAAGCTTGGTCTTTTGAGACCCAACTCAATTTTATATTTATATTTATACATACTTTGTGTTTTTATTGAAGAGGCTCCCAAAGGTGTGTAATCCTCAGGATCCATAAAACCTGTGTCCTGCCAGGACCTCTGTGAGTCCATGGACTCAGCTATTAACCCTTATTATGGAGGCTGTTTGCGTTAAAGGGTCATTTTATACAGAGGTAGTGTTTCACGGTGAGAAATAGAATTTAATGTGTGTGTTTCCAGTGTTCTTTATCACAAATCACACCCTTCCCATTTGATTTCTTGTGTTAGGACATCCAGGAGCAGCTGTTCCATATCAAGAAGCTGTTGAAGACTTGCAGGTTTGCCCACAGGTAGATGCGTGGCTGGGACAGTCCCCTTCCCCCTCACCTCTCATATCTGCTCATCCCCTGAATCCCCCCCACCCCGCCCAATGTGGTAATTCTTAGCACAGTAATTAAACCCTGTAGCTTCCCCTGGGGTTACAAACAACCTCTTTGAAATTACTCAACCTAGGGATGGAAAGAGAAAGAGAGAGAGAAAGAATGAGAATGGGACAGGATAAGGCTGAAAATGAAACAACTGTAGCCAATGGCCTTTATAATAACAATAATAATAATAATAAATTGTGATAAATACACATAATGTAAAATTTACTATCTTAGCCATCTTAAGTGTGTGGTTCAGTGTTGTGCTACCCTCACCACCATTTGTCCTCAGAACTCTTTTCATCTTGCAAAACTGAAACTATACCCATTAAGCACTAACTGTCCATTCTCTCCTCCCCCCAGCCCCAGGCAACCACCTTCCTAATTTCCTTCTCAAGAATTTGACTACTCTAAGTACTTCATATAAGTGTGATCTCATAGTATTTGGCTTTTTATGACTGGATTATTTCACTTGAAATGTTCTCAGGGTCTATCCCCATTGTAACATGTGTCAGAATTTCCTTCTTTTTAAAGGCTGTGTCATATTCCATAGTGTGTGGATACCACATTTTGTTTATCCACCACCAAAGGAAAGTGAGTTGTTTCCACCTTTTGTGAACAGTGCTGCTGTGAACATGGGTGGATCCATGGCCTGTTAAAATCCCCTTACAGAGAGCATGAGGCATGTCATGTTGGGTGAGATCATAGCCTCCAGGAATTTCTCAAGGCTTCCCCTAAGGATGTCCTTACAGAGATGTAGTTTTAAATAAGAAATAACATTGAAAATCTACTAGCTGTTCAGTAACATAATGTTACTTAAATTAATACTACATGCATAGTATGAAATGCTAAATAACCAATAAAAATTTAGACATGAATTCATTGAGAGAGATATTTAAGTGGAGAAAGAGTAGGTGACTCAAGGAGGGCTAAGATTATTTCTCATAATAAATGTGATCATAGGCTTTTTATCTTTTTTGAACTAAATGTCCAGGGAAGGACCATGTATAGTGTAGCCAGTGGGTCTTGAGCCCTACCTCGTGGCCTTGGCACAACGGCTATGGCATCAATAGAGTGCCATGTCCAGTGTAGACTGTGGCTGGTTTGGTAATATAGTGAAGAGGCTGTCAGTAACTGATTTGGGGACCTCAGGAGGAGATGAGAGGGGTTTCAAGAAAGATAATTAAGTTTTGAATGCCCTTTGGACATCTAAGTGCCAGGACTGCCAGCACTTGGATACATGAGTCTTAAAATGCAGTGTCAGATTCATGGACTTGGAGTCATACACTTGTATGTGAGCAGTATCTGCCTTCCCAGCTGAGACAGTGGTCACCCTGGTGGGAATGACATTTAGCTGGAATGAATAGGGTAGTCATTTTTTTCTTGTAGCACTGGGGTTTGAACTCATGGCCTCACACTTGCTAGGCAGGTGCTCTTACTACTTGAGCCTCTCCACCAGCCCATGGAGACACATTTTTAAGATTTGAAAATCAGAGCCAGGTGTAATAGCGCCTGCCTGTAATCCCAGCACTTGGGATTGTGAGTTCAAAGGCAAGTTTGGGGTTCATAGTGAGACTCTGTTTCAAAAAAAAAGACTTGAAAATGAAATATTCCATTTCATTTTATCAATGTGGACACGGGCAGCCTGCAAGAGTTGCATTTCCTGGCTCACTCCACAACTCCAAGTCAGCTTTTCTGGAATTTTAACTTCTTCCTGGCTTCCAAGCAAACTTGCAAAATGGAGAGTGGGGAGGAAGTTTCACTGCTGTTCTCAGGGCTAATTGATTTTAAAAAAGAGTTTAAAAAATGAAGTGTGAGAGTCAAAACATATGGCCATGTCCTCCCCCATCTTGTGTGCCACAAGGGTGGCTTTCTGAATTCCTCTGCTTCCCCTGGCAGCACGTTGAAGGCGTTTGAGCAGCTGCCCAGACACTTGTCGGATGAGCTCTACCTGTTCTCCCTGGAGGACCTTGTCAGGACCAAGAAAGGGCTGCTGGCACCCTTGCTCAAGCATGTTCTGAAAGTTTCCCTCATGCACGTTGCTGACTGTGAGGTGAGGGGTCCCCTGGAGCAGGCGTGTGTCCCTGAACCATTCCTGTGCTGGTTGTTCTGCAGTAGCTCTCAGAACCCTGGAGGGCAGTGCGGGTGATGCTATTTACAGATGAGGAAAATGAGGTTCACAGCTGTGACTTAAGGGACCAAGATCATCCCACTGACAACTGGCAGAGCTGGGTCATAAGCTCGGGTCCTGCAACTCAAAGTCGGGGTTCCCAGCCCCGCTTGAGGCCACTCTGCCTTGAAGCAGCACCTGGGCTCTGGATCTAATGGAATAGGAGGCTAATGCAGAAATCAGAAATGAAATTCCATCATTAAATTAATTATTTATTTTTTATGTTTTGGAGACAAGGTCTTGCTATATTGTTCGGGCTAGCTTTGAATTCAGGATCTTCTTGGGTAGCTGGTATTACAGGCATGTACCACCATCCTCAGCTTGAAATGCTATTATTTAAGAACATATGTTGGCTTAGGCATAGTGGCCCATACCTGTAATCCCAATTATTTATTTGGGAGGCAGAGATCAGGAGGATAGAAATTTGAGGCCAGCCTGGCCAAAGTTATCAAGACACCCAATCTCAAAAATAAACTAAAAAAGCAAAAGAACTAAGGGGAGTGGCTAAAGCATTAAGAGTGCTTGCCTTGCAAGCAGGAGGCCCTGAATTCAAACCCCAGAACCATACACAAAAAGAAAATATGTTGAAAGCCAGCTGCCATGACGCATGCTACAGTACCAGATGAGGCAGTGAGATCTCTTGGGCCCAAGTGTTTGGAGCCAGCCTGGGCAGCAAAGCAAGAGCCCATCTCAAAAATCAACCAATCAATCAATCAAGGAAAAGCACATGTTTATCACGATCTTTCTCTGGTGTGTTTTTAACTGCCTTGATGAGAAATAATGCATGTGTATTTTTTGTTATTATTCTGATCCATTTGTCTAGAGGCTAAAATATAGACATTCAAAAATCACTGTATTTAAATTTCTTCATCAAGAGAAGATTGCCTAGTTCTAACTATTTTTTCTTTTTTTTTTTGGTGGTACTAGGGTTTGAACTCAGGGCCTCATGCTTGCTAGGCAGGTGCTCTACCACTTGAGCCACTCCGCCAACTCTAGTTGTAATTTCTTGATGTGTTCTTTTATAGCTGTGCCAGGGAAAGGGCTTCATTTGTGAATTTTGTCAGAGTACAGCTGTCATCTTCCCATTTCAGACCACAACATGCAGAAGATGTTCAGGTATTTTAGTCACTCAGTAACATAAGCCTCATAATCGCTTAGCTTAATTATAAAGGTGATTTGAGTTTAATAACTGTAAAATTAACTTAAACTGAGAAATAGTTTAATAGCTTAAGCACAGCTCATTCTTTAAAGTACAATGATGCTGTGTGTGCCTGTCTGGTAGATTGAAGATGATACGGTTTTGGGCACACCAGCAAGGGGGGATACTTGGATTGGGCAGGGATAAAGAACACTGTTTCATATCTAGAGGAGATGGTCCCATTTCTACCTGTGCACAACCCTGTTTTGTAATTGGATCTCAGTCACACCCAACACCGAAATGTTGTCTCTGGCTGCTTTTGTGCCATGATGGCAGAGCTGAGTAGTTGTTATAGAGACCATGTGGTGCCCAAGCCTACTTGACTCTTTATAGAAAAAGTTGCTGATCCTTGGTTTAGGGGATTAGTACTAGGACATCGTGTGCTTTCTAAATTCTGTTTCATAGGAAAAATTTTGGCAGTGAATCCTGCCTTTACTCTTGATGTGGACACCCCAAGCTGTCTTCCCCAACCCATAAAACAGTGTTTCAGGACAAATTCCCCAATACAGAGACAGGAGGAAGGATTTGCAGAAGGCACAAGATTGGGGCAGTGGGAGAAGTTGAACTGTTGTTCAGTGAATCTCCCAACTCATCTCATGGGAGCTGTTTGGCCTTTCAGCATTGTCCCAATGTGTGGACAGAAGGCCAACCAGGTGTACAAACCCCACAGTAACCAGTTACTGGTTGCCAAGAAGGGGAATGACCTTGGGTGAGGCAACTCTCTCCATTTAAGGCCATTTCCAGAGAATCAATTCCATCTCCTAAGAGCCATCAGACAGGAGCTCTCTCAGAGGCTAGGGGAATTTGTGGTCTGGAGCTTAGGCAAATCTGGAGGCAGCTATACTCATCAGGCTCACTGAGTGTCATGTCTGTCATGGTCATGATTTGTTGGGTATTATAATCCCTGAGAGTTTTCACCTGGCTGCTTTCTTTTTGCAGTACTGTGGGTTCTAGATTCAGATTCCTTCCCTCCCTAGGATGGGAATTAAAGTCCATACACAAGTGACAGAACTAGTCAGTACATTTGCTGATGACTGGTCTCCTTGCTTGCAGCCTGCAGAGCTTGCTATCACAAACAGTGCTTCCAGTCCTCTGGGTGTCCCCGGTGTGCGAGGATCATAGCTCGGAGAAGACTTCTGGAAAGTTTGCCCTCTGTGGCAACCTGACGCCTTTGAGTATTGGAGAAGAGATTGTTCAATAGTGTTATGAAAATAGCAATTTAGTCTGTTATTGATAACCTTGTTTTAGGTAGTAAGTATTGTATTTTAAGAAAGAGATGGCCAACATTCTCTTCACTGTATCTGTTTTAATGTATTAAAATAATACAGAAGTTTGTTACTAAGTATAGGGTTGTTGGTAAGGTTTTGTTTACAAATGTTGGATATTTTTGCTGCTACTTGTGAATTTTTTTATAATGCTTAAATTGCATTGGAATAGTTTATCTGGCTAATATTAGAACCTATCTTTTTTTTTTATGAATTGTAACTGACAAAATGAGTTACTCAATTCCTTTTCTTTTAAAGCTTGTTTGTGAAACTGATTGGTACATTCAATGAACAAAAATGCAACCAAAAATCTGTTTGCTCAGGCTTTTTTTCCTTCAAGAATCAGACTTCTACTAATGCCATTTTGTGATAGTGTCAGTCTTATATATTTCACTTATTCCAGGGTTGGCATAGAGAGCACATGTTACTTAGTTACCTTTAGTTAGAGATGAATTTGCCTTAGCCTTGCATGGAGGTCCAGGTGGAAGTCCAGTTGAGATGTAATTTGGTGCATTCGCCTTTAGGTGGCACTGTTTCAGATCCACTCTGCAGCCTGTTTGTCACTAGTGCACACTAGTCCATGCTAAGTCAAGGGAGGCAGGGTGAGAAGTCATCTCTGTCTTTAGTACCGTACCTTGCCTTATAGATATGAAAACAGAATAACAAGGAACTTGAAGATTAACAACCTGAGATAAATCTCTTTTTTTAAGACAGGGTCTTGTATTTAGCCCAGGCTGACCTTGAATTAACTGGCAGCCAGATTGGGCCTCAAACTCTCAATCCTCCTGCCTCAGCCTCCAGAGTTCTGCATTACAGTTGTGTGGCACACATTCCATGAGAAAATACTCCTTTCACAATGGATCCTAGGTATAACATTAACAATCATTAGACCAAGGTTCACGGAATCACAAAGTTTTTGTGAATTTCTCTTTCCTAATATTTCTCATATTTATGCGCTTTCTGGAAACACATAAGCCTATTATTTCTTTCTCCCCTATGTACTTTCTTCCACTTGAGAAAGGGACTGAGCCCCTGGTCTCTTCCTAGGATGTCAGGTTGAATGGTTCTCAATTTAGTTCTTGGATATCAGTCTTTGACACCGCGTATCCAGACTAGGCCTGCTTTTCAAGCAATACAAGCAGGCAATAAAGTTATTCCCTACATCTTGTGTGGGGGGGGTGAGTGTGGGTGTATGTGTGCGTGCGTGTGTGATTCAGTGAGAAAATATTGAGCAGATTGAAAGAAATGGGTGTCTTTTATCAGTCTGGTGTCTTTTTCAATCTGTCATTTGTTTTCTCATCCCTGATGCCTCTGCCAGTGCTATGTCACATTCACTATTTAAGCCAGACCGCTTTGAGGTGGAAATTTAGACACATGGAATAAATAAGTTCAAATTTTAAACACTGTTTCATCCCTATCCAGAGCTCATATTCCCTCTTAGGAATCAAGGGTCAGAGTGGTGTATTTGTATTCCTTATAACCACTTTCTTAGCTGTTACAGATTCCATTGTACCAGAAAGGAAACTGAATCTTAGGGAAGAGAAATAACTCACCTGAATTCCCACAAACACTGGCAGGACAGCTCAGGTTGGCCCTGAGTCTGCCTGCCTCCGAAGCAGGCAAGGGCAACTTTAATTTGTGCTAATCAAACCTACAGAGGTGGTGTGGGCAGTATTTTCTACACAGTTTCATTATAGCTCAAGCGTGGCTAGAAGGTTCTGGACTCAGGGTTACTGTGTTTGTAAGGCACTTGTGTGTGTGTGTGTGTGTGTGTGAGTGAGTGTGTGTACAAGTACCTATGTGTTACATATCTTTATATTAAGGAAGAGTGCACAGTCAGTGCCAGGAAGTGATGCTTTTAGCTTTTGATTTTGGGGAAGAATGAGGTAATTTAAATAACTGCTCTACAGCCTTCTCAGACACTTGGTTCCTCCTCAGCATGGTAGGTGAGGCTCCTTCGCCGAGAGGCACCTGTGAGAACAGAGACGGGACCCTCATACTACCAGCAGCATCCCGTAGGGAAGTAACTAATCATCGCTTGTATTGCTCTTTACTGGGATTTGCGTGTTGGGTGATCTTTCCATTCAGCTCTTCCTCTGACTGCTGGAAGAAGAAGAATGGAGGAATATTGGCCTCAGACTGTCACCCACTGTGAGGCCTCAAGTCAGGGCTATGATCCCCTAATGATTACCTTCCTGCCTCTACCCTCCTCACGTGGACAATTCCTTAAGGTGTCATTTACGGCCACGATTCCAGCCGCAGAGAGAAGGTTGTACCACCTAGAGGCAGCAGATGTGGTGAAGGATGAGGCCAAAGATACATTCCAAAGACATTCTGGTAGAGAAATTTACTGGCCAGCCTTGGAACTGAATCCTGGATCTGAGCTTCTCAGCTGTGTGACCTTGGGCAAAGCTTCTTCATGACCCAAGCTCTGTTTGTAAATCGGGTAATAACTATATGCAGTTGATACAGGATTAAGAACGAAATGAAGCACCCGACAGAGGGCCTACAATCACAAGAGCCTAATAAGTAGCATTAATTAGTATAGACAGGTTTAAAAACTGAGTCATACCAACCTATTTCCAGTTTGCACATCTATCATTACAGGGTTAGAAAACAAACCTTACTATTGTGGTGGAGCTTTGGATCCGGTAACAGGTGCCTGCTCGACTGTGACTTCTTTAGAATTGGGTCTGTTGCAATGTAATTTCTTAGGGTGAAGTCATGCTAGATTGGATACGGCTTTTTTTTTTTTTTTTATTCATATGTGCATACAAGGCTTGGTTCATTTCTCCCCCCTGCCCCCCCCCCCCCTTACCACCCACTCCACCCCCTCCCTCTCCCCCTCAATACCCAGCAGAAACTATTTTGCCCTTATTCTAATTTTGTGTAGAGAGAGTATAAGCAATAATAGGAAGGAACAAGGGTTTTTGCTGGTTGAGATAAGGATAGCTATACAGGGCATTGACTCACATTGATTTCCTGTGCGTGGGTGTTACCTTCTAGGTTAATTCTTTTTGATCTAACCTTTTCTCTAGTCCTTCCCCTTTTCCTATTGGCCTCAGTTGCTTTAAGGTATCTGCTTTAGTTTCTCTGCGTTAAGGGCAACAAATGCTAGCTAGTTTTTTAGGTGTCTTACCTATCCTCACCCCTCCCTTGTGTGCTCTCGCTTTTATCATGTGCTCATAGTCCAATCCCCTTGTTGTGTTTGCCCTTGATCTAATGTCCACATATGAGGAGAACATATGATTTTTGGTCTTTTGGGCCAGGCTAACCTCACTCAGAATGATGTTCTCCAATTCCATCCATTTACCAGCGAATGATAACATTTCGTTCTTCTTCATGGCTGCATAAAATTCCATTGTGTATAGATACCACATTTTCTTAATCCATTCGTCAGTGTGGGGCATCTTGGCTGTTTCCATAACTTGGCTATTGTGAATAGTGCCGCAATAAACATGGATGTGCAGGTGCCTCTGGAAGTAACAGTCTTTTGGGTATATCCCCAAGAGTGGTATTGGGATCAAATGGTAGATCGATGTCCAGCTTTTTAAGTAGCCTCCAAATTTTTTTCCAGAGTGGTTGTACTAGTCTACATTCCCACCAACAGTGTAAGAGGGTTCCTTTTTCCCCGCATCCTCGCCAACACCTGTTGGTGTGGTGTTGCTGATGATGGCTATTCTAACAGGGGTGAGGTGGAATCTTAGTGTGGTTTTAATTTGCATTTCCTTTATTGCTAGAGATGGTGAGCATTTTTTCATGTGTTTTCTGGCCATTTGAATTTCTTCTTTGAGAAAGTTCTGTTTAGTTCACTTGCCCATTTCTTTATTGGTTCATTAGTTTTGGGAGAATTTAGTTTTTTAAGTTCCCTGTATATTCTGGTTATCAGTCCTTTGTCTGATGTATAGCTGGCAAATATTTTCTCCCACTCTGTGGGTGTTCTCTTCAGTTTAGAGACCATTTCTTTTGATGAACAGAAGCTTTTTAGTTTTATGAGGTCCCATTTATCTATGCTATCTCTTAGTTGCTGTGCTGCTGGGGTTTCATTGAGAAAGTTCTTACCTATACCTACTAACTCCAGAGTATTTCCTACTCTTTCTGTATCAACTTAGAGTTTGGGTCTGATATTAAGATCCTTGATCCATTTTGAGTTAATATTGGTATAGGGTGATATACATGGATCTAGTTTCAGTTTTTTGCAGACTGCTAACCAGTTTTCCCAGCAGTTTTTGTTGAAGAGGCTGCTATTTCTCCATCGTATATTTTTAGCTCCTTTGTCAAAGACAAGTGGTTATAGTTGTGTGGCTTCATATCTGGGTCCTCTATTCTGTTCCACTGGTCTTCATGTCTGTTTTTGTGCCAGTACCATGCTGTTTTTATTGTTATTGCTTTGTAATATAGTTTGAAGTCAGGTATTGTGATACCTCCTGCATTGTTCTTTTGACTGAGTATTGCCTTGGCTATTCGTGGCCTCTTGTGTTTCCATATAAATTTAACAGTAGATTTTTCAATCTCTAAATGAATGTCATTGGAATTTTGATGGGAATTGCATTAAACATGTAGATTACTTTTGGGAGTATCGACATTTTTACTATGTTGATTCTACCAATCCATGAGCATGGGAGATCTCTCCACTTTCTATAGTCTTCCTCAATCTCTTTCTTCAGAAGTGTATAGTTTTCCTTGTAGAGGTCTTTCACATCTTTTGTTAGGTTTACACCTAGGTATTTGATTTTTTTTGAGGCTATTGGAAATGGAATTGTTTTCATACATTCTTTTTCGTTTGCTCATTGTTAGTGTATAGAAATGCTAATGATTTTTCTATGTTGATTTTATATCCTGCTACCTTGCTATAGCTATTGATGATGTCTAGAAGCTTCTGAGTAGAGTTTTTTGGGTCTTTAAGGTATAGGATCATGTCGTCTGCAAATAGGGATATTTTGACAGTTTCTTTACCTATTTGTATTCCTTTTATTCCTTCTTCTTGCCTAATTGCTCTGGCTAGGAATTCCAGTACTATGTTGAATAGGAGTGGAGATAGTGGGCATCCTTGTCTGGTTCCTGATTTTAGAGGGAATGGTTTTTTTTTCTCCGTTAAGTATAATGCTGGCTGTAGGTTTGTCATATATAGCTTTTATAATGTTGAGGAACTTTCCTTCTATTCCTAGTTTTCTTAGAGCTTTTATCATGAAATGTGTTGGATCTTATCAAAGGCTTTTTCTGCATCTATTGAGATGATCAAGTGGTTTTTGTCTTTGCTTCTGTTAATGTGGTTTATTACGTTTATTGATTTTCGTATGTTGAACCACCCCTGCATCCCTGGGATGAAGCCTACTTGGTCGTGGTGAATAATCTTTTTGATGTGTTGTTGAATTCGGTTTGCCATTATTTTGTTGAGGATTTTTGCATCAATGTTCATTAAGGAGATTGGCCTATAGGTCTCCTTTTTGGAGGTGTCTTTGCCTGGTTTTGGGATAAGTGTAATACTGGCTTCATAAAATGTGTTTGGCAGTTTTCCTTCCCTTTCTATTTCATGGAACAGTTTAAAGGGTTGGTATCAGTTCTTCTTTAAAGGTCTGATAGAATTCAGCAGAGAATCCATCAGGTCCTGGACTTTTCTTTTTGGGGAGACTCTTGATTGCTGCTTCAATTTCATTTTGTGTTCTAGGTC